TCATAGGACCCTGGGATTCGGATGGCACAAGCGAATGTCTGAAAAATTTTAAACATTTAGAAAGCTAACAAAATTTTAATATACCAATAAAAATAAAGCAATACATTTTTTTTTATGTTCCTAATAAGCAATGTTATGAAACGATAACGAAGGAGGACAGAAATCCTCTACTTATTAGGTATATAACAGTATCGTTTTGTCGATAGAAAGGACTCCCCTTGCCACAAACTCGGAGATTGTCTGCTGCTATGGAAAAAAAAGAAAAAAGAAAACAAATTTCAAAGAGGCGAGCTTCTATTTCCCCATATTTCTTTTCTTCATCTGACACGAGCCAAAACATGTCTTAAATATTGACCTAACACCCCGACTTGAAATAGTTATACCTCGTAACCATAGTTACTGCTACTATGCCAAATGAATGGCGAGGGGAGTTATTTCCATAGACAGACTGCAAGTTAGGTTAATCGGATAAAGGTGATCATCAGACTCAATATTCTGAAAGGTTTTGTGAGTACTCCCTCTTCTTCCTGAGATGTAAGAACTGTGATATTATATCTCCCCAGATATGATCTTGAATAACTCAAAAAAATTTGTGAAGAGACACTTTATTTCGGACTAATACTAAATTTAGAATTCGAATAAAATTTAAAAAGAGTAATTTAAATCAAGCATCTAAATTCGTAAGTTGTATAGCTCATTCTAGTGGAATTCAATTTATTTCTGACCTTGGTTCTCTCTTTTATCAGCGGATGGCAGATCTGAGAAGTTAGTTATGACGTCAGAGGAGGACTTCAATACTTCCGGTTTTTCTTTTTTAGGATACTGGGTGAATAAGTCTTACATCAAACTGTCATAGCAATATTCCTTTCGAAAATTACTTTCACTTCCAAAATAATCAATATTGGCGCGATATGAATATCAAAAAATTCAAAAGCCTCCAAGAAATAAGAGTTGTGCCTGGTGTTTCACTAAACAAATTTGGTACAAAGTAATTGCCATCTTTTTTGGAGCTGAGATGCGCCAAAATTTTTTTACGCTGACAAGGGAAACTAGGGAAGTGTGACTCGCCAATTTTGAAATAAACTAGTGGGATGCATGCCTTATGAGGAATAATTTTAGGGGGCAACATTCGTTTTGGCCCATAGAGGGTTCTATGAGAGATAAAAAATAATTAAGTATTAAAAGGGGACACTACTTAGGCTACAACATGTGACTACCTCATTACCTATCAAAAAAATTTCTCCCTGAAGAGAAACTGCGACAGGCAACTCTGGTTAATCCCTCCTGTTCACCACTGGTTTGGCAGAAAAAAACCTTGGAGGTGCTCCAGAGTTCAGGTAAGATATATCGGATCAATGGGCAGTTTCACAGTTCATCAGTAGCCATTTAAAAAGTCTGACTTTACTAATTAGGCGAAAAGTCTTCCCATCATGTAGCAAGTCCAAATTGAAGCATTCTTCCCCCGAACACATGAATGATAATCTCGCATTCTCCTTGGATAACATTCTCTTGCGACCAATTTTGGTGTGCAACTTTGCCAGAGAATTTGGACTCATGGATTTGATATAGCTGAGGCTATATTGTGAAGGATTGGACACAACAACAACAAAGGTGCCATTTTAAAATCGGCATAAAAATTGATACTAGGGAATTATAATTTGGGAGCTTTGCACATTTGTCATTAGAAGCAACCAGACATTCCTTTAAACTTTCAGAATTCAACTTTTCATACTTTCTAATAGATTCGTGAAAAGTGGAGGAGAACATTGTTTTCTGTGTGGTTACTATTGCTAAAATTGCCAAATTAAATCTTATTGTGATGATTTTTTTTTTATCAGAACAGTGCTGAAAGCGAAAAATCTACAATAATTTTCTTCTTTCTGCTGTCGAACAAGTACTGTTTTCGCTCTTAAAGTGATTAATAAAATAAAAGTTAATACAATTTACCAATTTCACAATTTGTCCCATTATAACCTTCCAGACAAACACATTCGTAAGTAGCCTTTTCAGATAAAGGTACACACACTCCGTCATTTTTGCAAGGGTTCGGGTTGCAGTTTTCTGTTACTGAAACAGAAAACAATTACAATCAGAAAATTAAAATCAACTCCAAAGTGCGAGCAAAGTACTAAAAGAAAATCTAAAGAACTGCGAGTGAAGTTATCGTGGTAAAAACGCAGCATTCTTCTCTGACAAGATTCAAAAGCCAATCAGGTTCGATATACACGCGAGACATTGCTTACAGATGTCCCATTAAATTTGATCCGAGATTCGATTCAGCGTGATAACAGACCAAGTTTATTTACTGTAACATCAATCCGCCAAGCACGATCACATGTTTAAACGAAAACAAGTGATTTAAATCACTGGGTTGAGCCTAATCACGTATTCTACTTCTCAAATAGCAAATATCCAATCCTTAGTCACAAAAATTGAATTCTCAAGATCTTGAAAAACCTTTACGTCGTCAAAAAAGAACTACTACTTTTATCAAAATATGAACACAGCGATGAGTATGAATATGAAACACAGTATGAATATTAAACAAGCATAGAGAAATTTCAAAATCCGAAATTTTCTAAAGGATAGCAACGATAACTTCTCAGCAATTTATCATGATTTACTAGTTTATAGTAAGGTTTATAAATACTTTATACTGAATGGCCCTTTAACTTGTATATAAAAGTTTAGGGAATGACGTGCAAGTGTTAACTGTTCAGAAAGGCCCATTGAATACTACAAAGTTATTGTCCTGATTAATCTGTTTAAGAAACAATCCTGTTATTAAGAAACAATAAACAATATAAATTAATCGGATTACCCGATGTCGGAAATTAACTGAAACGAAACTATGCAAAAAACTTTCCTTTAATACTCATTGATTCAAGAATAATCTATGACATTGAATTTGTTACTGTAAAAGTGATAAATCCGGTTATTATTAATAATTTCCGATTGTGTTTAATAATTATCGGTAATTCTTAATAACAACCGGTTATTATTAATAATAACCAATGAAGTTTGATAAATGTGATTAAACGGTTTATTTAGAATTGGGACATGGGTGTGCCTCTTTGTATATGTGTTATGGTTGAAGTGATAAATCTGGTTATTATTAATAAAAATTCTAAAATTAATAATTACCGCTTCTTTTGGTCAAAATGCGAAATAAAAATCGCGAACTTGTACTGCATTCAGTGTGAACTACAATACGGGAGAAAATTTTAAACAGCATTTAGAGACACTGATGAGTATGCTGAAACAGCTTATGGTTTGGATATACCAGGAACAACCTATACCAAGCAGTGGTATTTCAAAAACATCAGTATAGGGTATACCGGGCAAATGAGTTTCAGGCAGTGATACAAAATCTAGAAAAAACGCCAGTGTAAGATATACCGGACAAATACATTTAATTAAAAAAACATCAGTGTAGGGCAGGGGTGTCAAACTCGCGGCCCGAGTACAGTATGCGGCCCAAGATGAACATTTTTGTTGGCCCAGTCAATATATTCGAAGCAAAAGTAAAAATAAAATAGAAATGTGAATTAGAAACGAAACCAACATATAAAATTATAATATACTTTATTTATAAACTATACGGATCATTTTAAAATTGTCCGCTCGAAAATGTAAAATTCTAATTGGCTGAAATGGAGTCCGTTTCACACTAAGCTATCAATTAGTACATAATCAGGCTTATCCTATTATAGCGAGGTAAGTTGGTTACCTTGCTCCAAGGTTCTCAATCAATTCTGGGATTTGAAAGAAAAAATATGTAAGTTTTTACAAACTATAAATCAAGATACAAGCTTGTTCTCCGATCAAATATGGTCGCAAGATTTATCTTTTACGGTTGACATAACCAAACACTTATCCGATTTAAATTTATTGTTACAAGGCAAGGATCAGATCATTACGAACATGTTTGACATAATTAAAAAATAATTCAAATGTAAACTATTTATTTGGGAAAGGCAACTGAAAAATGAAGATTTNTATCAAAAATACGCAGAAAAAATTTCAAATCTTAGAACAGAATTTGAAACAAGGTTTAAAGATTTTAATTCCTTGGAGGACAAATTTTGTTTGTTTTCCTCGATTTTCTCAAATATGGACTCAGTACCAGTTATTGGCAAATGGAAGTGATTGAGATACAGTGCGACTCAAATTTGAAGGCAAAATTCATTGAAGTGGGTGTGTCTAAATTTCAAAATTTGCGTGTGAAATTATTTCCAAGTTTGGAAGTACTTATCAGAGAGAGCAATTATTTTCTGTTAAAACCGTATTAATAACTCTCACGTTGGGTCAATTTTGAAAGTAGTCTCGGCCAATAAAATTTTCGGATCGAAATGGAAAAGATAATAGCAGAGAAGAGATGTCAGGACGTTAACAATAACTTTCAAAATAAAAATATTTGTTTCCATAAACATTGATTTTTTTTTGCAGCCCACCTAACGTTAGGCATTGTTTATTTGGACCAAGTTAGCGTTTGAGTTCGACACCCCTGGTGTAGGGTATGCCTAAAAAATTTATTCCGGGTAGAGGCACTTAATTTAAAAATAAAACATCAGTATACTTTAATTTTTAATCACGACACTTTTCAAAACAATAATAGATATACATAACTGCTTTGAACTGAAATATTACATATTTTTAAACAAATTACTTATTTTGGCAGGGAAATCTATTGTGACATTTGGAATAGAATTCATTTTTACCTTCTTTTTTTGTTTACATCTACCTAAAGAGTGGTTGAAACGTGATTTCATGACTTCTAAAACGTCATCTATTGTGTAGCTGTAAAATTTGTTAAATAAACTATCTTGTTTTGTGAAAAACTGTAATATACAAGCCAGAAAATGACAAATAAAAAATTGGGAGCCTAAATTCTTAACTCAACAATCAGCTTATTTTTTCATGGTGTTGCAAACGCTTCTTAAATAAGCGAAAGTATTACATTTAACAAACTTTATTGGTTATTGTTATTAAATAAATTAGAATACCACAGTTGCCAGTGTAAGAAAATCCATCAGAGGGACAAATGCACGTATAACTGTCACCAATTTCTACACAAGCTCCATTACCACAAGAATTAGGATGACAGGGAGATCCTATAGTAAAAGTAAAACCAAAATATTAATGAATTAATTCCAGAAAAAAACATTTTATTCCATTGCTTTGCATAAATTACACACAGGAACATTTTTTTGCTTGTTTTCCGAATCATCAGATTTTTGAACGGAGTCATTGATTCTTAATCCGTAATTGGTTTCTGCACTCTTCAGTTTTTAAGCAATTTAATATATTCATAAACAGAAATTTTTGAAACTCACTCGAGTGAATACTAAGTATCACCACTTCTCTACTACTAAGAGAGTGGTAGGATAAAGCAAAAATACTCATTAATACATGACAACTAATACTCTTTTTTAATCAGCTATACACATTTTTTAACACAATTAAAGGCTAAAGCTTTCAGAATTTTAGGAAATTTTTGCTATATTTTAAAAGCCTCACCACAAGAGCTAGTAGAAAGACGGGTTTAGAAAAATGTAGTGAAAAGTTTGGGAAATAAGGAAAAATTTTGAAAAAAAGTGGTGTGAAAACTAACTTTAAATTAATATAAAATTTATAAAACATTATAAGAAAACAACTAGAAAACATTTTCTCAAAAATC